TCGCCTCACCCTCCTTCCCCACTCCTTCCACCCTCCCTCTACCCCCCCCCCTACTCCTTTTTAAAAACCCAACCAATCGCACCGACGCAAAACATAGGGCTCTGTAAGGACAAAAACATACAAACCAACCTTAGACAACTATAGCCCTCTTATACTTCATTAGGAGAACAAATACGAGGATTTGACTTGATGGGTGCATATCATTGACTTGAATTATAATATCCCAGACATCACTATGACAGACAGCGCTCTTTGATTGTTTAAAGATTAAAGCTGAACTATGGTGCATGTACGGATGGTAAATGGTGAATAATGCATTTATTGTGTCTTCACTATGTTCCTAATGGTTGTCTTAACTTTTTTTTTAAAGCATTAAAAATGTTAAGTAAGATATGCGCTCGAAATGGATTTTTTAAAAACTTAATTGTTAAAGTTTTAATTTATCTCACTTTATTTTTTAAAAAGCAACAACCAACAAACTACTAGAACAAAACAACAATAACAATTAACGTGGAAATGTAGCATACGTTTATCATTACTGAATTGACATTTCATCAAATGAAAAGATTAGAGTAACAATGATGATAATAATAATGATAATAATGATAATAATAATACTTACAACAACCACGTCAACGACAACAAACAACAGCAACAACAACAGCAACAATAACAACAACAACAACAACAACAACAGCAACAACAACAACAACAACAGCAGCAGCAGCAGCAACAGTTTTACTCGTGTTTCAACCCTTTCCTCTGTAACGATTTCAGTTCCTCAAAGTAATTTGACCTGTCCCCTCTCTCTACACTATAGAATTTGTTTCTGTTCTTCATAACGGCATGAGGAAAATCCCGAACGAACAACTTGGCCAAAATAATGGTCAAGGCTGACTGGTCAGTTCGATGACAACGGGCGTACTTTGGAAGTCCCAGGGCGGCTTTTCCCCTCGGACAGAACTGGACAGAGCGTTGGTTACGTGGGCAGATGCAATTCTTGACCAGTCCGCAGGCCAGCCATGGAGTCAGGATTGCTTGCTGTGGGCATGAGCGGGGAGGCCGGGG